GGGCCGGGCGGCGCCGGCGCCGGCGCGGCTGTGAGGCAGAGTCAGCCTGGGAAGCACCGCGCTCGGTCTCCGGAGACGAAGAGCGGCCGGCTGGAGGAAGCGGGGCTCCCTCCCACAACCGCCCCCCCGCCGGCCGGCAGAGCGGGCGCCGCCGGCGGGAAGGGAAGGAAAGCGGCCTCGGGAGAAGCGAACTGGAGCCAAGACAAAGCGGGAGGACACCTGAGGGCCCCCGAGAAGACGCCGCCGGGGGAGCCTGAAGGGGGGGCGGCTCCACGCGCGCCAGAAGGGCCCGCGGGAAAGGGGCTGGAGGCGGCCGACAGAGCCGGGGCGGGCGCGGGGGCCAAGAAAGCCCCGATCACCCCCGGGCCCTGGAAGGTGCCGAGCGCCAGCAGAGCTGCGGGCGCTGCCGGTGCGGCCGAGAAACGGCAGTGACGGGAGACGCGACAGAGACCAGTCGCAACCTCTCCTCGGTAAGACGCAGCAGTTTTCAAAGAAGTCATTTTTGTTTCCAGAAGTTCTAGAACACACGTACGTACGTCTTAATTTGAGCATCAAGTTCCCCAGGCTGCATGGAGGACCCTGAAGAGGAGCAAAAACCAAAGCGAGAACCCGCGCGACCGCCCGGGGAGACGCAGCGTGCACGGGTCCCCCGCCCCCGGCGCACGCGGCGCCCCAGCGCCCCAAGGCCCCCTCCGTCTGCCCGGGCCGCCCGCGTCCCCGGCGTTCGAACCCACCACGTCTGTGGATAAGTAGCGCTGTGGGCCCAGCCCACTTTGTATTCGTGCCAAGTTATCTCCTGTACCATGTCTGTCTTGACCACTCAGCTATTCTCACAGTAATGAAAAAATTAGGTTTGGCTTGGAAGTTGATATTCTCAATAGCATGTTGCATGTTTACAGAAAGATACTCCAGTCCCTGCAGGAGAGCTTGCGGACGGTCACCAAGGTCGGCCGTGGCCTCCCTCTAACAGCTACTGATGTTCCCTTGAAAAGTCAGACTCCAAAACGGCACTATGAAAAATGTAGTCACATGTTGACACTGTGTGGTTTTGTATTCTAATTTGGCTGCACAGGGCATTCCAGATCACGTTAGCGGGTTTACTGACAGTCCAGTGTCCAGAATGAGCAAGTAGTTTAAGCAATGGAGCGTTTACTTCCTCCGGTGTTATCCAGCTTATGTGGCTATAGCATCTCAGCTCACCCTCATTTCAGTTATTTTATTACCACAAAGAAGCATGTGGAAATAATGCTTATTGCTGTTTGAAGAAAAAAACTACTAAATTTCTATTTCTGGGTAGCGTAATTGTACCTGCTAAGTCATTCGTGGCTGATATAGTACATACTTGAAGAGTCAAGGTATTATGCAGATTTGCAAGGGACTTCATCATGCAACCAGTTTCAGAGCCCACTGCCAGGAGAAGCCCAGCCCACCTGTAGCAGCTGGCCAGCGAGACCAGGGTTAGAAGCAGGAGCTGGGTAAGACCTGCGCCCCATGCAGACACAGGACAGTACTTGCTAGATCTTAATTTCTGGCCACATTAACTTTAGAATCAAAAGAAAAGCTAACAGCTCGTACAAATTTTCAAAACTCTTTTTTGAAGTCTAATTAAAGATGTTTGTTGGAGGATGCAGCTTTAAAAATTTAAACTTAATAGGTTCAGGTTTGTCAGTCCCCTGAAGCAGTACTCAGTCGCATCAATTTTTTTTTAAAAAATGGACATTCTCCGACTGAAACCATGTGATGGAGTATTTGAAAACACTTGTCCTGTCACCCTGGATTCATCTCGTTATTGTGCAACACATTACCCAGGTCCTTCCCTCCCACGGTTGACTCTGAGACTCCAATAGAACAACTGAGTCAGCCCCTGTAGATAAGACATGCTTTCAAGAGTGAGTTTTGAAACCCCCATTTCATTCAGAGCTATATATACACACCTATTGTAATGACTCAAATAGAGCAAAATTAGGAGGCTTGATACAGTCTAAGAATTTAGTACTACAGAAATGATTTATTTCCCTCCTAGTCCACAATTAGTGATAAAAATCTTATTTTGTTAACCGTGACATAACTTTGATGTCATACGTTGTCGGTCTGATGTGGCTTTCTCCTTCCTGAGTAACCTGTCACTGTACTGATTACACAGACTTAGCAATGAGGCCTTGGAATGCTACACAAATATGGATGTACTGGTTGTAAATGTTTATATACTGTACAGTACCTTTATATATATATATACACTTGAGGTTCTGATTAGAGAAAGATCTGTAAATCGCTCGTTATTTTTTATATAGATATTAAAAAAGAAAAACACAACGGTCTCTGGTCTGCATTTCTTGGGCAGCTTGCTTTTTTATCGCTTTCTGGTTGTGGAGCTAATGCCCGCTGTGGTGCAGAGGCCTTGGGTCAGGGAGACCCAGGACCCACCTGCTGTGTTGTGGGAGCTGTGTATAAAGTCTAACACTGAGCTGGGTTAAATAGCGTCACACCTATTTTTTACCTTTCATTGTAAAGAAAACAGCTTTGCATAAGCAATTTGCTACCCCCAAAAAACCATCCTTAATTTGTCAGGGAGAGAAAAGGCTTGCTCTGACCAGAAAACTGATCACTAGACACTGACAATGGACACGGTGGTATAGCAGCAGTTACTACCAGTTCATGGAATTGTATTCCACCTGATTCTGAAATTTCACATGGGGGCTAAATATTTTAGTTACCACTTACTGTAGGTTAAATTAGACATTAGAATGAAGTTGTGACTTAATGCTTAGTGTGGGTGATGCCTACAACTGATTTCAAAACCATGCTTTATGCCGTACACTTGAGGGGAAATTTAAATCCCCTCCCACTAAAATAAGCCAGACCCGGAGTCTGCAAGCCCCCAGGAGAGACGCGCTCACCGCAGAGGCAGCAGGACGGTCGTTCTTGTGGTGCACGAGCCTTTGACCGGCCAGAACCACGGGGAGTTCTGGGATGCCACTACATTGCCTCGCTAAAGTGAGTAGAGACTCTTTATCTTCTAACCTACCTCCATCAAATATTTTAGAGCAAGGAGCTTTTGAAAAGAGCCAGCTCTGGTTTCAGATGGCCGGGGTGCAGAAAGGCAATACTGCCACCAGAGACTGGCGTGGTTGCCTCCTTTCTCAGTAGTAAGATGATCTCCTGTAGACCTATAAAGCCAGATGCTATTAAATCGGTAGACAAATTTTATCAACATTCAAACTGGGCTTTAAGAAAACATGAAGTATTCAAATTACTTAAACGGTGACAGGTTCACTAATGACTCCACAACAATTTGTTGAAGCTGCAGTTTAGTCCGGAGTGGCCTCCTTGACCTGAGGCGCGCTTGTAAACAGGGCTTCAGTCACACCATGTGAAGACCTGGCACGACACTACATCGCAGAGAAAGCTCTGTCCCGGTTAGGTCAGTGTGTGGTTAAAGTGCTTATATTTTCAGGGGCCATAGTGCATAGGTTCGAGAGCTTGGAGAGTCTAACTCCCTAGCAATTTTGCCTCTTCAATTTTTTTTCTCAGTATCATAACCAGTTAGGAAATCAAGCTAATGGGTATTTTTCTTATGCTTGTACAGTTTTGCTATTCAAATTCAAGGAATGAATGACCTGATCTGGTTTTTAACTAGGGTTTAGTTTCTCCATAGCAGGTAAATGTTACCAAGGTGTAACTCACTTCTTTGGAGGAGATCAAACGTCCAGATTCCTAGAAATTACGGGAATGAATGAAGTACTGAGGAAAGAAGCAGCATGAAGTGACAACTCTTCCATCCTACAGGGAACTGCATCAGTGGTAATTATTTGAGTTCTGTTTATTCATTCAACACATGTCTATTGAGTACCTGTACGAAGTCAGGTACTACTCGGAATGAACAACAGTATGCCCTTGGTTAAGGCACCTGCAACTTAGTGGGAAACCAGATAAGTAGGCAAAAACTAGAAAGATAACCAGGTTGTGTTCAGTCCCGTGAAGGAAATGAACCAGGGCCGTGTTGCTGAGGACGGGTCAGACGGGGAAGTATAATGTAACTAGAGTTTCTGCTCCACAGGTGTCAGAGAAGCACCCTCGAAGAAACAGACCGGCCAAGTCATCAGGGGGAGAAGCAAGAAAACATTCCAGGTAATGGAGGAACAGAGGGAGGCCGGTGGGGTGGTGGGACGCTGAGGACCTGAGGCAGGAAAGGCAGGCAGGCCTGACACAAGCACGCTTGGGGGCCGCACAGAGCAAGCAGGGAGAGGTTGAAGCAGCAGTGACGTAAGTACCGTCCCCTAGTGTCAGGCTCATTCACGTGGCTGGGAGCACTGACAGGAGCAGCAGAGGAAACGCAGAACTGGTAGACTGGCTGTCAGACCCGGAAGGGGAGCGGGAGCGGAGAATAAGGTCGGCAGACAGGTAACTTTGTTTCGTTTACTAAGGGAGAACAATTACTGTAAATGTTGTAAAAATGGGTTTTAGAGGTAGGACATTAGTAAGTACAGGAGTGGGATGAAAGGGGGCGAGTCTCATGGGTGCCCCAGATGACTGTCCGAAGGCACTTTCCACACTGTAGTGCAGGAATGGGGAACCCAAGCTGAGTCAGAGACGGAGTCAGGAGTCGGGGCGGCCGGATCACTCGGGTGTTCGGGGTGTGTGCAGGAGCCCAGACGGCTGCGCAGAGGAGGCCTTCCGAGTCTCCAGGTGAGTGCTGAGCACATCAATCCCCAAGGATGGGTCAAAACTCCCAAAAAAGGCAGAAAAATTCTTGACCTGGAGAAAGTTCGTGTTTCCGAAACCGAACTAGAAAGCCGCATACGAACAGGCAGCTACGGCGGCGTGCGGGAGGAGATGCTTCAGCAGTGAGGGCCGTCGGAACCGCACCCACCCACGTCAGGCTTAGAAGCAAATCTTGACGTGACCAGGTAACTTCCAGGTAATTGCATTTCAAAACAAAGCTTAAAAGGCTTTCAGGTACACACATACAAAACTAAGCGATGTCAAGTCAAATTTATATCCCATATTACCAGGCATGCAAGAAAGTAGAAAACTGTGACCCAGCGTGATACCTACAAATCAACTTAAAGATACTGTGTTAAACGTCTTTTGTCCATATCTGCTATTTCTAATATAAATGGTTAACAGAAAGAAAATGCCTGTTAATAAGAAACATGAATTTTTTGTAATGAGATTTCCGTAAGTGCAAATACATTGCAGAGGGTGAGAAGCAAATAGTAGAGAATGATAGGTGAGTGAACTCGAAGGCACAGAAATAGACACTACCCAAAAGGAAAGAAACAGAGCAGGAAAATGTAGAGGACATTAGTAAAGCTGAGGAAAGATTCAAGCAGCCTAGTATGTATGTAAATGGAATCCCAAGGGAGGTAAATGAGATTGTGGTACAGAAAATTTATTCTCAAAGTAACCAAACACATTTCCAGTTATTTTCACAAAACACGGACATAAAAAATTAAGAATACTAGCATATTCTTTAATACAATTAAAACTGCAAATTCTGCCATAAAGATCTTAAAAGCAAGCAACAGTTAGGGCCCTCCCTGGTGGCGCAACAGGTTAGGACGCAGCACTGCAAGCGAGCCGCAGCCGCCTCAGTGCGAGTTCAATCCCCGCCTGCCCTGGAGGTGACCCACAGGCAGTAGCTGACCTCTCCTGACCCGCCCGCTGCTCTGCTCAGCAGTGGACTTCATCGATCTGCTCCCACTCTGTCTCTGATGAATCCTCTCACTGCTCCTGCACCTCTGGCCTGTACCCTAGTTCTGTATGCATAAATAACTAAATCTAAAAAGAAAGAAAGGAGCAAGAGTTAGAGAAAAAAAATCTTGGTTCATCTCATATGCACGTGAGGTTGAAGAATGAACAAAGCAATGCAGGCTAGGAGCATAATGGCCGCGTCGAATAAAATGAGTTTTTATACACAGCAAAAATGTCTTTTGAAGATAAAGATTCAAAAATCGGGAGTGTGCTGCTAAATGGATCCTGGATCTTATCTTCAAAATAATAAACCATTAATAGATTCTAAAGGAGGCGGCTTATACTGCAGAAGAGACATTAGCTTGTCGAGACTAGACTGGGCTTGGGGGTGTCACACACAACAGAAGAGAAGTAGAAACTTACTCAGAAAACAGAGGATGTTGACTTAGACCGGGCGCTGGAAGGGAGGAGGGCAAAGAGTGGGTGACCTGACCAGTGGAACCATTCTAAGCCGTGGTGATGAGCTGTGAAGCGTGAGCGAGAGGAACAAGTCGAGAATGATTGTCAAGTGTCTGACGTGAGCAGCCAACAGTTTCACTCCCTGGAATGTAATTTGAACAAGTATATTTACACTATCGCAATTATAGCCAACAAGCCACAACAGAAAATGCTCCTGCATACTGCACTTGAAAAAGAGAGTTCATTGTATAAAAATTGCAATTAAAACTTGGAGAAAAAGATAAAAGCATCCCTTTGCTTCAGTCTGAAATAGGCACTGAATTTCATCTTGGACTTAAAGCGTTGTTATTCTTACAGAAAAAGAGAGAACACGATTTCTCCGAGCCCTTAATGGAGACAATGAAGTGCTTCTGCAACCTCTTGAAAGTAAGTCATTATAATGGGGTTACCTTTAAACGGTAACTTGCAGCATTTAGAATGATTGCATGTATTTTTCTGTTTTCATATTTAGGCCTCTATCAGTGAGATTTTTTTTAAGATTTATTTGTTCATACAGAACTGGGGTACAGGCCAGAGGCTCAGGGGTGGTGAGAGGCTTCACCAGAAACAGAGTGGGGAGCAGAACAGACAGATCTATGAAGTATACTGCTGAGGGGAGCAGCGGGTGGGTCAGGAGAGGTCTGCCGCGCCATGTGGTCACCTCTGGGGCAGGCGGGAATCGAACTCATGCGGAAGTGGCTTTAGCTTCCCAGTGCAGTGCTTTAACCCGCTGTGCCACCAGGGAGGGCCTATCAGTGAGATTTTTAAAGGATTTTAAACACTAGTGATGAGTGTACTTTATAGATCCGTTAGGTTCTAGCTACACTGTGTTGGCACTTTACTGAGTTGATAATTTCACTACACAGCCGTATCAAGTAGTTATCCCCATTTAACAGATAAGGAAATTGAGATGCAGAAAGTTTCCTTTGTCCGAGATTAAGAAGCTAGTAAGTGGCAGAGCAAATGATATGGAAGATCAGACAGGCTTGATCTCAACTCCTAAAATCTTGATTCATTTAAACCTCAAGCATCTTCCTCCATATGGGACATGTGTAACGGATACAGTGACTTTACATGAGTACATGGAATAACTAATTTCCATTTAAAATTTGACAAAATCTTAATCAGTAAATGTTCAGGCTTTCAGTTTCCTCAAAAGATTCTGCAAAAACAGGTAACTTAAGAGTAAGAGCATTTGTCAACGCATGTGGGGAGTGGGTCGCACTGAGCCCCGAAGTTCTGGACACACAAATCATTCTCAAATGTTGTGCAGTTTGATGCTTCACTCAGTGCTTACAGGCCACACAGCTGTGGCGACGCCTACAGAAGAAACCGTTTGTTGGACACGCTCAGGTGAGTATCCCTGTACTGCCTTCTCGTGCTTGTTCTTTTCTGCACAGCGAGAGTTAAACAAGGGCACAACAAAAAAGCTCAGAGACTAAAACTTTCCAGCAAAGTCCTTTTATTTGGGTCCAACTTAAAATAGTTTAAATTTGATCCCTCTTTGTTAGAGAAGTGAAACCTCCAGTTCTATAGACTGTAGTAGAAAAGTACTGGATTTGCACATTTCTAAGAATGGGTGTGTGCTCCATGCTTCGGGTGCCTACCATTGTTCCCCAAAAGACTGCAACTGTCACAGTGCTGAGATGCCCAAACTGAAAAAGCTGCCCTTTCCCATAACACAGCCTGTAATCTCCATCCTGCCCCTGCTGCTTGAAAGCTGTGAACAGACGTCTGGCACTCATCCCGGCTGGAAGATGCGCTCTGCAGCCTCCGGCGAGCTCCCTGCGAGGCGGGCAGGTGGGCGCGTGGGCTGCTCTTCTGCGGTACGTGCTGAATGGTGTCCGTGTGGGGCCAGGTGCAGCCTATGACTTAATTTTCCACAGCTGAAGACACAAGACGGCAAAGGTAAGTAAGTTTTAAGACAACAGGTGGGGGTTTAGGTATACTTGCACCATTCTGAACCAAGACGCCTTTTGCTGCTTGGGTCAAGTATCTGCTGTGGTAACAGCAGCCACAGAACTAGAGAAGAGAAACCTGAGAAACCTCGATGGACCCCTGCACTGCACCTCACGGGGTCTAGTCCAGGGAAGGCCCCAACACTGAACTGACAGGGTTTTGTGCCATCCAAGAGCAGAGTCCGTTGTGCTGTGTAAATTGAGAAGCCCGGGGACTAGCGGTGAACCTGCCCCCTTTTACCTCGTACTCTTGCCATGCCAGTCACACACACACACACGATATGGAATGCCAAGGTCACTGCCTTTAGTAAGTGTAACCCTGAGGCCATACTCACTCTTATATTAAAGCCTAGAAGATCACTTATAACACCTGAGACAGCGGAAAGGATGACGACTCGTGTGATGTTGTAGATTAAGGGGTTCATTGTCAGTCCATAGAGTCTAAATGGTGTGTCCAGCTCCTACAGAATAAAGAATATATATATATATAGTTTCCCAAGGACTGGTAAGGAAAACAGTCATCTTTACATCAGACTTAATGGTCAGACAACAGTTGTCATAATCTGAGTAACAGGACGGCCACTTTTTCTCATACAGTTAACTGCAAACCATCAAGGTGGTTGTCAGAATATAGAGGCCCAACATGTGTGTCACTGGGGTCTTCTCCAAGAAGTTAAAGCACTGATTTAGATGGTGTAAAAAGCACATTGCAGAATTAATTACTTACTTTCAATAACTTGGTGGACAACTTTAATACATTGTTTACTAGAGTGAGCTGTTCTTTTTTATTTGGCTTTTTTTCCATTTTAAGATACAAGTTAATCTAAAGGAAAGAAGAAAAATTTAAGGTAAAAGATTACCACAGTGTGTCTGGACATTTCTTAAATTCCAGCAACTACTTCTATAGCATCCTAAGTAGTGACACGTGGTAAAGCTATTCAGTGAAGATTAAAAATGATAATGTAATAATTAACATGTAAACTCGAATTCAAAATTTATTCCTCTTGGTATCCCCTAAGAAATCTAACATCCTCATTTAACTTAATTCTTTATTTTCCTCCTTAAGCAACATTCTGTGTTATAATTCGAAGGTAGAAAAGACAGTTTTCTTCTCTATCTACATAGTTAAATGACAGAGCTAATACTGGAGTATAAAATTAAAAGCCTGCTCCATTACCACCAGTAAAATACCTTTATTATATTTTCAGTCTTAGATCTTACTCCTGAGAGCAGACAGCAAAGAGGGTACCAGGGAACCTAGACTCATCCTTGAATCTTCTGCTCAGAAGTTAATGGAACCAATCAATACCTGTTCTGTAAGTAATATTGAAACGTTGCTGTATTTCTTATTGGTTTCAGACCCCAGTGAGGCCAGGCGCAGTAAGAAAAGTAGCAAAGCTGTTTCCCAGATCAAAAACTCCCAATTATAAGCATCATTCAAGAAAGTTTTATGTCCTTGGAGAACCTATACAAAAGATCCAGGGGTGGGGGCGAAAAGTTTTCCTCCTTTACATTAGCTGTTTCTTGCAAATATTTTAAATCAATTATTGTAAGGCTCAATGCAGAAGTTTTACTACTTATAAAGTGTTATCTATTTCTATAAGTTTTAGGAGCAGGAAGCTAGGAAACACAGCCAGGGCCTGGCAGCACAGGAGGAGGAAGCCAGAACCATGCATCTCCTGCCGCCTGGCGAGTGGCCACTCCTCGGGCTCAGCCTGTCATGTTCTGGTAAGAAGTTTACACAAGTCCAGGATAAAATGGAATTGCTTTAAAAATAGGCAGAGAACACCGCCCAAACCCAACTGTAGGCCTTTTCACAACCAAGAATTCACCATGCAGGCAGTCTTCCCACCTCTCGGCCCGAGGGCGCCTGCCTCTCCCCTTGGCTCACTCCTTTGCCTCCTGACTTTTTTTTCAGCCTAGAGCATGTTCAATCTGCCAACTCGCTATAACTAGGGGAGGAAAGAAACCCACCTCTTGCAGGTTATCTGAAAGACAAACCACACCCCCACTATTATAAATCCAAAACTCTTGTGTACCTGTTTTCCCTAGATGCACACCAACGACTAATTGATAAGCCAGCCACAGTAAGAGGTTAACAAGTACAAATAGAAGAGTTCTAACAGTATGTGGTTATGTGGTAACAGAAGTTACTGTGGTCTCCCTCTCAAAATCTCTTACTGTATTTTCAGACTGCTTGACCATAACTACAACCTTGGGAAGCAAACAGAGCTCACTGTACTTTCAAAAGAGCAACACTGAGACGAACAATTGGCTCCTCAAAAGAGGGAGATCAGAGGACAACAGAACATGCAGCTGGAATTCCATATGCAATGAAAAATATCCTTCAAAAACACAAGCAGATTCTTCAAGTAGAGAAAAAATGAAATAAAAGGGTAAATACAAATTTACCAATGAATAACTCAGTACAAAAATGATTATGGGCCCTCCCTGGTGGCGCGCACAGCGCTATGAAGGTGTCTGCAGAATGACACACAGCTGCAGCAGATCTGTCTCGCCCGCTGCACCCCAGTTCTTGTATGCATAAATAAAAAAATCTTAAAAATGATACAGTGGTAAGTCAATAATTACAACCTACATCCTTATCTTAGAATCTCTGGGGTCACTAGCTGTAAAACAGTTAGAGGGTCATAAAAAAGGAAAACTATCAAGTAGATCAAATAGGAACCAAGTGGTATCATAGTGCTTATACCATCTGAACTATGAAGACAAAGTGTAGAGGGTAGACGACATACAACAATGAAAAGACAGCTGCTATAGTTAGACATGTCATGATAGAAAAAGCATGACGCTGTTCTAGATTATAGTAGACCAAAGCCCTGAGAACTAAACATGGATAACAACTCTTAATTTGTGTACACCAAATTACACAGCTACAAGGTAAGACTACAATCATAGTAGACTTGAACACACCTCTGTCAGAGGCTGATGGCCTAATCATTAATTGTGGTAAGAGTTTAACGTAACGTCAATCTCAACATATTTCAGAGAAGGTCAGGTTAAAGCTTAGTAGAGGGGAAAGTACCTGATTCAGCCAGAGGGAGTCCTTTCGGCACTGCCTTCTTCTGTACAAGAGGTTACAAGCTAATGTATGACAATTTAGGCATCAAAACAAGTACAGTAAGAGACTGGAGAAGAATGAGCATGAGTCTGAGTGAGTGAGAAAGAAAAGGTCTGCCCCAGAGTGGCCAAACTTACCAAGGACTCAAAAGAAACATAATCATCCTAACAACATACACCTGGACACCATGAATTGGTCTTAAAGAGTGGGCCCTGTAACAGAATTTCCATTTTTCATTACCTGGGCACAACAAATGAAAGCGATTGAAAGTGTCAGTAGAAAAACTGAAGACACAACCACATCCACGGAGCGCTGGGGACCCCGCCTCTGTGGAGTGAGAAACACGCGTCAGACCGGTGCCCGAGGCAGCAGGGCCCTCCCCCCGTCAAATTCCAGTTAGGTCCAAGCACTCTACCCTAAAAATTTAAATTTTCTTCTAAATTATTTTCCCGCCCTACCAGCTTTGCACATAGATCCTTCCAGGGTGGTGCCCAGCAAGCTGCTCAGCCACAAAGTAGCCCACCCAGTACCCGGCACTGCATCCCCGTCGAATATCTGCTAACAAGACGTGCACTCCTGTGCACGTCATGCTGCATTCAGAGCCGACTCACCTTGAGATAGGACCGCAGTGATAGCCATATCTTAATGTTTTCTACCTTTTTAAGTCTGAAGTGAGGTATTTCGTATTTCCTAGCTTTCCTGGCAGAAGTAATATGGCTGAAAAGTTTTGCAAACAAAAATCTCTGGAAGAAGTTAGAAAAAAATATCACAACATGAAGCATGCCTGTGTTTTTATATAACTGCAAACAATAGTCCCATCATATGATAAGTGCGATTCTGATCACTGAGAGGCAGCGCAAAAAATTCCGTAGCAGCTCATTACCCTGTTGCTCCCCCAAGCACACTGCACAGTAATATATTTCCTCACAACACGGTTCACTCATAACATTTTCAAGGAAATTTTTTGTAGACAATCTGCAAGTTGACAAGCTCAAATGTTTACACAAAATTCTGCTCACGCCCAAGTTACATTTCCATTCAAGAAGGCATCTCAATCCCTGGCCGCATGTCAACTGTGAGGAGTCACCATCACAAGTGACGAGCCCATCCACGCCACGCTCCGGGTCAGCCACACACTGCCCACATTAACAGCAAGGACAGCCACTCTCCTCAATCTATACATCATAGCGAAGGCAAATTTTACTTAATTTTTACCAACCTGTTTATATGTCCTCTCAGCCACACACATCATGAAAAAAAACATCCACGTAAGACACAAGCGTTCAAAAAAATTAATTATAGACAAAATAATAATAGGTGTAACAGGGGGTGCCCCACAGAAGAGCGTCAAGATCTCCTCAGCTGAAATGGACTTCAGCTGGTCGAGATTCTTCTCACGGAAAAGACGATGCAAGAAAGGAAAGAAGGCCAAGCCAACGGTGACCGCGTTCCCCAGCATCTGGTAACCCACTCCTTGCTGGTACGTGTTAACCTGGAATTGAAAATGTTGAAACTATGTTCATGACTGCAGAGCCAAATGGAGTGGAGGGTCAGTAACTACCAGAAACTACTTAGATTAAACACAGGTTAAGAGAGGCACACAGTAAAATACAAACGTCTGGCATCTTATTAGTCATTAGGCTTCAACAGGGTAACGGGTATTTGTAGAGGATTCCTGAACAACTGGCTGTGTTCAGAGACCTTTGTGACAAATTGGAAGTTACTACCGAGACTCTGAAATGAAAAATGCCTGTATGTCAGAAGTACAGTCATGGTGTTCTGATCGCTACAGAGGTCCCACAAAATGACTGCTGACCACTAACAGTTTTAAAATACAAGTGAAATGACTCAGTCTTACCCTGCTCATGATGATGCCACTTATTTCCAACACAGACATGTCCATCTTTTTACACTCAGTTCCTTCCCAGATTATTGCACTAACTCGATCAGAGGCAGGACTTGAATTCTGAAGCCAGAATAAATGGTTCTACAAAGAAAAATATGAAAACCATTTCTGTCCACCCCATTCCTCCGTTAAGAGTTTTTCCCCTTGTCCAGCCCCCAAACTGCCAGTGTTCAGAGTCATCATACTCTCGCCCTTACAGAGCTCATCACTCAAACCACTACCTCTTGGATACTGATTTTTGGGCATTTTCTTGCCTGGAGAGAGCTTCAATGTTACTCTGGAAGGAGAGGCAATAGGAGCCGTCGGGCTTCAAGACTGTTTCCCTCGCTCCACACTTGGAAATGAGTATAAACTTGGTTATTCGTGGAGTAGTGGCGGGTGAGTGGGGGTATTTCCAAAGCAACACGGCTGTCTGTGCGCTAAGCAGGGAGGAGAGGCTGACAGACCCTGGGCGGCGCTCCCGGCCCAACCCTAAAGACTCTTCGATCACAATCATCAACAGGGCATATTCTGATCATGATAAACCTAATTTTGCCCGCCTGTGAAGTTAAAAACTCTCACAGCCTCTAACAGACAAACTGGTATCTAACCATATGCTCCTTCCTGGTGTCCCACCCAGAGCCATAAATCGAATTATCCCCAAATTCAAGTACACATCTCTGGAGAGAGCAGTATTTCTTTTCTTTCTGTCAAATGCTTACATAACGCTGATGAGCACACTGATTTATTCACTGAATTAGCAAAATAAATTATATGTATAATTATATATATTATATATATTGATGAGAAAAGAGAGATGTAACATCAAGATGCTCACAGGCTTAGGGAGATGAAATGCCTACTCAGCGTGATGAAGGAAGGAAAAGTGCTTTAGGAACACAGAGAAATGAGCCTCACTCAGGCCAACACGAGGAAAATAAAAAGGGATGGGTACTGGAGGAAAGTAAATTCCCGGCAGAGACACGAGGATACACAAGGCCTGGGAGCGCAGGAGCGAATGGCCAGAGATGAGGCTAGAGCAAAGCAAATAAAGAAACAAAGGCAAATAACCCCGAGGGAGACTGACGCCCTTAAGGGTGTTAAGGGCAGGGCACGCCACTCCTACTTTGGAAGCAGCACTCTGGCTGAGTGTGGAAACCGCAGTGACCGACGCCTGCAAGCCCGGAGAAGCTGCCGAAGCTGCCGCCGCGGTCTGGGCGGAGGCGGCGGCCTGGGCCGGCGGGCCGGTGCAGGCCAGAGCGTGCACACGATGCCCACGAGCAGCAGGCGCAGGGAGGGCCAGGCACCCCCAGGGTTTGCCCTCAGTGGTGAGCGGCGTCATCCAGAAGCGTGGAGAGAAGAGCGCCACGGTGAGCTTATCTTACCAGATGTTGGGAGTGACCAAATGAGGAGATTTACCGAGGGACTGGATAAGGGCAGTAATAAATCAGGCCTTGCATCCAAAGGTGATAAGGTGGTAACAAATTGGGCCTTGCATCTAATTGACCGGTCCTTGCGTAGGGATGGGACTAGCTGAAGGTGATAACGAACTGGGCCTCACATCAAGGACACAGCGATGAGTCACCCCTTGGAAATCTGAGCTTAGGACCTACATAAGTGACCCTGCTCCCTTACTGGGTTGGCTGTAGCTGCGGACCCCACTCTAGGGGCCCATCTCGCTGCTGTCCCAGAGCAATAAACTCCGCTTGCTCAGCCTTTCTGCCTCCGGCCTTCCTTTCTTGCTGCCGGTCACAGAAGTTGGGACAAAACACCAGATTCGTAAAATGCCCCAGAATTACACTGCAGCTCCCAGCGTGCAGTACAGGGCAAGGTCATCGCCACGCTGAGCGAAACCGCCGAAGGCTACCGTGAGTCACACAAACCGGACCAAGTGTGAAACGTATTTCAGACTTCGATTTCGATAGCACAACTGAATAAGGAACTTGCAGATTTTCATCTAAATGTATTGTTTCTAGTTAGTTTTTTTAAAACTACATTTAATGAAATAGGATTTTTTTTTTCATAAAATGTAACCTACGTCAGTGATGTCTCAGAATCAAGAAAACACAATAAGCAAATGCAGACGCGCTGTCCATCATATGGACATCCCTGGGAATTCTGGACCCAAAGGGGAGAACCTGAGATCAATGAGCACCACTGTGGTGAAACAGCTGAAAGGCCGGTGTGAGAACCCCTTCTTGATTATTCCTGCTTTCCGGCAGTGGAACGAGCTGACTCATGCACTATCACTCAGCTCCAGAAGTATGTAAGCAGAGGCAGACACATCCTCAGACAGGGATATAAATAACACCGCTAACACTCCTGGGCGCTCCGTCATCTCCACACCTCAGTATGTCACAATATTCCTCAGAAGCGGGACAGTTATAACCGCTCGGTACAAAAACTTTCCACAGCGGTAGAGCGAATTCCTGTGACGGCTGGAAGGCTGAATGCCTCCGACGGGACCTGCAGCACTGGGCTATCTGATCTGAGGGTTATAAAACCACAAATTCTAAGCGTCACTTGGCTTATACACTGTTAGAGAAGCGAGCAAAGCCACTGCCTGGCGACACTGCCACACACGACACTGCGGCATCGACAGAGCCATCCAGACAGCGAAGAGGAGCCATCACGGCCAGGGAGGGGGGAAAGCATCAAGGGAAATGCAGGTTAGGGCAGCTGCACAGAGCTTCTCCCTAAACTCCTGCTCACAAGCCTCGCTCAGTTTTCTCTCTCCAAGTTAGGGATACTGACACAACAGCATCAACCTTACGGGCCCGTAAAGTGAAGTGAGCGACGCGGCGCCTGGCGCGAGGAGGCGCAGGTGAAGGCTAAGTACGCCCTGCTGCCTTTACGCACCTGCTGGAAAACGTCCTCTTTGGGGTCGCGCTTGGCCCCGGGGGGCAGGGTGTTGGCCTGGCCCTCGCTGTCGCTGGTGACCGAGGACCGGCACTCGGGGCCGTGCAGTAGGTCGTCCCACAGCATGTCCTCGGTCTCCGAGTCATGGCGGGTGCTCTCCGAGTCTCTCCTGGACATGCTGAGGCTTCGAGAGCCGCCATTCCCGCCAGACCTGGAGCTCTAGTCGGAAAGCAAAAGACGAACAAGAACTTCTCATTCGTTTCTAAAGACGACCACACACCTGAAGTAGCTTGACGACCAGTTCTGCTGGCTCTGGCCGGACTGCTCTCTCAGCCGCCAGGAAGCAGTAGCACTTCACTGCAAGGTCACCCTCTGGAGGCTCCAGCAAGCTGGACTGCGAAAGGCCTCCCCCCCAGAAATGTTACAGCCACAGCATCGGGGTGCCAGCCCAGGAGCCCTGGGTAAGGCTGCGTCCTGCAAAGCACAT